GACCCACAGCTAGGATTAAAAAAATAATAACAGTCTATGCCTCCAGCAAAAACCTCTTGAGTGACCGTAGAAGGCAGGAGGGTTTGAGTGTCTGAAATCCATACTGTGGCCGCACTTTGTGACATCCTGCTTCTAACTAGGGCTGTTTAAATTACAGGCATTACAGAGGTCCTTTTGTGTTACCTAAGAAGATGGTGGAACAGATTTTGATTTCTAACAGTGATGACAGTTATGTGGCCTCACAGACATTCTTATGCATGTGGGAAGTACAGTTCCTGCCTAAAAAAACCTTTTTCTTTCACTCCCAACACCCACGGAGCAATACACACTCTCACTGCCAGTACTGATGTGTTTTTGGAGGTTCTTGGGTGTCTTAGTTTGGTACTACATGATAAAAGAAGTTAAAAACAGTATTATCCTCTTCCCCTGAACTATGATTTCCCCAATAAATTCCATCTTTCACTAATCAATAGTCAAGTGAGACTCTGGAAATGTTTGGTGATGTCTGGCAGAAGGGAGCATTAGAAAATTGAGTACCTCAAAATGGGTTTACCTTTCAGCTGTGAAGTAACTAGCATTTCTCAGTATTTGCTGCTTATGATTCAAACTGGCTGAGGGGCTTAGATGCTCACAAGAGTTTGTTTTTCTCCCCACTGTATTCTTTGACTTAATAAAAGATACTGCCTTTGCTCATTCAGCTGCCCTCTGTACTTCTTTTAGCTTCATCTTTTTTTTTTTTTTTTTTTGAGACTCTAAGGCCTTGGTAAACATGAGCTTTTAACAACACATTCTTAAGCAGATAGAAATTAATATCTTAAGGGGCTTTTTTGCAGTATAAAGTCCAGAGTCTTTGAGCATCCCAAAGGAATGACAAGGTTTTAAAAGTGAACTATATAGCATTTCAATCTTGTTATTTCCCTGAGTATCTTCACCTCCTACCTCTAGTTGTAATCTTAGTTTGCTCACAAGCTTTGAAACATACATGTAAGAAGTAGGTGGTCAGTCAAATATTGAGTTTATAGGTTGGTAAGATGAGTCAAAAGGCATTTAAAAAAATTGAGAAGCATCACTAGTTTCATACTGGGAATTCTCATATCTTTAAGGCGTGTGGTAAAACTTTCTGCATTTGCCAGAAAGCAACCCTTATAGTAAAATATATGGCAAGCTAAATTAGAAGTTAGCTTGCTTTTTGGGACGGGTGTAAAAAGAGAATCAAGGCTGTCTAACAGAGAGGGTTACCTGAACCTCAGCTCTGGTAGAAGGCTGTAATGAAACAACCAGCCACCCTACTGTAACTATTCCCCTGAAAAAAGAGAAGTTTTTGTTTGTTTGTTTGTTTGTTTTGGTTGGTTTTTTTTTTTTTTAAGTTAATATGTCATTTGCTATATGTACTCTGAAAAACAGTGGTGCTTCTCCTAAGGTAGTTAAAAACCTGATTTAATAGAGTTTGCAGCCAATTTTCTGTGGCTCACGTTTCATAGAAGATGATCATGGTGAAGAGAGGCAGGGAGTGGCATATCCTGCCCTTTCTGTGATAGGGACAGAAGGCTCTAGTTTGCAAGAGTGTTGATGCTCATACATTGTTCACATGCGAGCAGGACCAGTAGAGGTTATGGGAGGGGATTAGGTCCAAACACTAACCTCATAGGTGGAATGGTAGCACCATAAGTGCCCAAGCTGAGGATGAGTTACAGACTGCTGTTAGGCTAATGGGAGTTCAAGAGAGAGAGGAGCCTGAAGACATTGACCCCCTTCGTAAAAGGAAGATGGTATTTCCAATGATTTATGCAAGAGGAAATAGCTCATATGCATTCTTTAAGCATTTCAGTTAAAGTTGTAAACAAGTGATTGCTAAGAAAACAGATCTGACTGCGTCAGGAGTTCCTACATCAAACAAGGCACGAAGCTGAAATCTGCTACCTCACACCAGAGAACAACAATACCCTTTCTCAGGTTCATTTCAAGGACTATTTGCCTTCATCTTACTTCCCTGTAAAAGTAAAACCAAAACGAAACTAATTTTAGAAAACATAACTGCTGGAGCAAAATCTAGAATTCATGTAGTTACAGATATGCCACCTCTTGGCATATCTATAAAAAACTTGAAAAAAGTTCAGATAAATAATGGTCTTCCTTCTTCAGGCCTTACTTTGCTCCACTTTATATCACCCCACTCCACTCCAGACAGGGAGTGGAGGAAATTTAAGTATGTTCACTGCTCTTGCTATGATTTAATGAAGGCTTTTATCAGCATAAACCTCAGGCAGGGAAGGGTATTAAAAATATGACATAATTTAAATGCTTGTTATTGATGAGCCCACAGGCACACAGAGGCCTGGGGTTTCCACAATGATTTGTCACTGAAGTGAAGGAAGACAGGTACAGTATCATTGGGGTAAAACTGTGACTCAAAGTACGTGATCAGCAGTGACTGTTTGTACCAACTGCCTGTAGTTAGGAGGAGCTTACCTGCTAAAGAAAATGTGGATAAACTCAGCTAAGAATGAGAGGCCTGGTTATCCAGTATTTTCCACCTAGTTCAAAGAGGTGAAGTAATAGAGATTTATAACCACTCCAGCCTCCTTACAGTATTGGAGAACCAAAGGCTGATATCTGTTTGGTGCGTTTCTAGCTATTTGCCATTCCAATACAATAAAAATACAAGTTAGAACTGAATACTTAAACATTTACTACTAAATAATAAAAATACAGGGAAATTAGGAGGAAAAAGTTATATCTCCTGATTAAGGACTCCTTTGGACTCAAGGCTCCTCAGTTCTGTATCTTAGTCATGCATTGCCCAGGCCCAAGGTTGTTAAAATATTCTGTTTATTGAATATACTGAATAAAAATGATGTTCAGTTGTGATGCACTGCTCACTGCATTCTGTCTTTCCTTTTGACTCACTAGCCTTTGAATCACATTCAGACTTCGTTCCATTAAAAAAAAAGCAAGCATACTTCAACAGAAAACTTAGGAATTTATTATAGTACAGGTCAGGTGTGAGAATTTCATTACATTGGCTGTGATCCCATTTGTGTGAGGGATTAGCTAAGGCTGAGATGTCACAATGTAGCCTCACCCCTGTTTAAATTACTGAAGTCTCCCATTCAAAATGTCAGTTTCACAAATGGAAAGAGCACTGCAAGGAGGTGAAAACTCAGCATGGGGACTTGGAATTACCTTTGGCAATTCATTTTCTCTTTTATTCTGTGTAAGTAAAAATCTATTTGATTTTTACCATTGCTATATATTTAAAGGATGTCCTTGAGATACATTTGAAATTATAATCTGGGGCCAGGGCTGGATGGCTAAAATAAATATAAAATTCGATAGGATGTAATATTTACAGTAATTTTTTTTTTTTTTAATTTCTCTTGGATGTGTAGTATTTCAGCAGGTTTTTTAGTAGAGGCATAAAGCTGTTAGTAGATAAAAAAACGAGAGCAAAGTATTTGGAAAACTCTCATCTAAAAGATGAAACATGCAGTGTCAGCCCAGATTTTGTGACTTTTTTTTTAGTCTTAATCTTGGTGATGAGACCAATGAATGATCTATTTTGCACTTTTTCTCCCCTGAGAGACTCTTTAGGAAAAAATTCATAAGAAATCATGGATGAGGTTGTATTAATTGTGCTGTGTTCTCACTGTACTGCAAAAGTTTTTTGAAATAACATCTAGAAATTCAGAGGGCTGCATTATTTTATTCTTACTGTCTAGTTTCATGCGATTCAATGCAGATGAGTGTAAGTTTCTTGAGTAACGAGTACTTGCTGTTAATAATCCAAAGGATATGAGCACAGGGTCTTACAATACAAGCTGTACTGGGATGCAGAAAAGGTATGTCTGTAGGAGGGATTTTGCAGAATAAGTATTGTTATGTTAGAAGCTTTTATGCACCAAATGATATGAAAATATCATGTTGGTTTTACAGGTAAGTAGATTCAAGATAAATTAATTAATGTGGTTCTTAAAAACTTGATAGAGCTTCTCCAGTATACCCTCTTTGAGAATCCTTTAAGTTTTACACAGAAAAAAAACAAAGACCCAGGATAATAACTAAGTGTTGCTCAGGAGTAATATTAATATGAGACAGAAGACTCTGTCTTTCTATGTGTTTTTAGTAGGAACAAAACCACTCCTCAAAATGAAGGTTAAATTACTTGAGCAACTAAATGAAATGAGCAAGAATTAGCCTGAGAATTTATTCATCCTGAAAAAAGATTCGATTTTCACTTTAAAGAAATTTTGGGATTGTAAGAAATGTTGTCATCTTCATATTTGCAAAATAAAGTAGTTATGACTTATACATAAAGATAAAGGTAAACACAGGAAAGCAATTAATTCGATCCCATGATTGTTATGATTTATGATACCAACATAAAGATAGGCACAGAAAAAGCAGTCTGCCTGAGAGACAGTAAGTATAAAAGACATAATTGTCTTGTAAAATAAAGAAATGGAAATAATAAAATATACACGAAAAGCTAAGGAGAAAATAGTGCTGATAAAATACATTCAGTTCATTATTAATTTTTGTTGTTAATTCTCTACACATTTAAGTTAAGAGAGATCATAGAATTCTTTAGGGTGGAAAAGACCTTTAAGATCACTGAGTCCAATGGTAAAACCAAGATTGCAAACTACAGCACTAAAACGTATCCCTAACTGAATAAGATATCATATTTTGAGGAAGAAAAGAACAAAAAAAATTGAACAGTATGTGCACTAGAAAGAGCAAAGCAAATAATAAGGCAATTAAAATCTGTATAATGCCAAGAAAAAAATTTTGTATGAAATAAGTAAGGTAAAGAGCTCATTAAAGCTATGCAAAAGAAAAAGGAAAAAGGAGAAAATGGCAGTTGAAGAAGAGCAAATAGACCACGTAAATGTAAAAGAGGATAGAAAGGGAAAAAAAGAAGCTGAAAAATATATAATTGGTACAGTATTGAAGTACTTCAAATTATTACAGGGAAAATATCCATAACCAAACCTATCAACATGGAAAAAGGTACAGAAACTACGACAGCAGTGACAGAAACAAAAAGCATACTAATTACAAACTCTCAGAACAACATAAGCAGCTCTGCAAGAAGAGAACGAGAAAACAAAACTGTCCTCTCTGAAATAAGGTCGAATACTATTACAAATCAGCAGAAAATAGACAAATACAAGTTAATGCGAGATGCATCCCCGGCCTCAGACACCACCCAGGCCAGCCTCTCCTTCACGCTGGCTGACAGTGCGGGGACGCTGCCAGGGCGGCCCACCTCCAGAGCCCTCACGCAGGGGCAGGCCACGGCCGAAGCAAGGACCACCTCATCTTCCACAGGGAGCCCCTCTCCTGACGCGGCCTCCGCCTCCGCGCCTACCCGTGCCACGACTGCTCCCGCCGAAGGCCAGAGTCCCGCCACGAACCAGGGCAGCAGCATGACCACTGAGCCCAACGCCAACACCTCCCTTTCCGTCCCTGCCACGTCTTTGGTGACCCCATCCACCACAAGGACGGCAGGCGGAGAAGGGCAAACGGAGACGGCGGCCACCACGCCAACTCGGGAAGGGAGCTCACTCGGGCTCTCGGCCAATACCGAGGCGACCAGCACCGCCGTCCCGACCACGAGGCCCGACGCCATTGCCACCGGCGCG